AAACTTATTATAACAATATATGGAACTTATCATTACAAAATTGGAAGACACATAAATGAAGAGGAGATCATACCTATGAACCGGCTATAAAAGTTCCTTACTTTCATATAATTATATTGCATAGTTGGTACTTATCCTTATCATTTCTTACTTAAGAGAAACAAAAAATTCATTTATACTTCAAAGATGACTAATGTTAACTTTTCTCCATTTTTAAGTCCTCCTATTTTTACTTTTATTCGCCGTATGTCATGAAATATTTCATACTCATTCCGAATACATAAATCATATGCAAATTACTTATCCATCTTCATATCATAACCACCAATTAGTAGGGGATGAGCACTACTAATCGATAGACAACAAATGACACAAGGAAATATGTTTGTACCGATTAGAAGGGATATAACACCAATAATGGATAGACAATAAACAGAAAGAAGGAACATAGCTGAAAGTTCAAATGAGGCTATTGTTGATTGTACCACACAATTGATCAATCAATTGGATGTTCCTATTTCACCAAATGCAGATGAGTTAGTTAACATAGAGGACGAACAAATTGATTTGAACTTGAACTTGAAGATTTAGGTAGAGAAAATATATGTGGATATGTTTTGTAAGACGGGTATCTAATTTTTTTTCGAAGTATTTTTTTTAAAAATTTATTTGTTTGGTAGAAGGGTGTTTAAGAGTCTAAGTCTGTTTTTTTTATATACTTCTTACTTTGTTGGATAGGTTGTGTGTCTAAATTTTTTTATAGTTAGAGTCTATTATTTTTAATTAAATACTTGTCTTGATTCCATCATCCAAACTCTATTTATTTGCGCGCAAATTCTTCTCTATTTCCTTGTCGAAGATACTAGAACACAAAATTGTAATTATTCAAAATACAATTAATTTCATATACTACAACATTAATACATCGTAACTCGAAATATATAGGATTAGGCTAAGAAACCAAAGATATTCACTTTTGGAAAGAATAGGAAAAATATGGAAAATTTCTCAAGTTTAAAAGTGAACTTTTTGGCCATCTTCAAACGGCCATAACTTCTAGCTCAGGATGAGTTAGAGTCAATTCTTTATATGGTTGAAAATACCTTTAGAGAGATCATTTCAACACCACCAAGTTTGCGCATTTTCGATCTTGTATGAGAGAGATATGCCCATTGAAATTTGGGCTGTTGGATTGAGGAAGGTCCTCATTCGAATTTTTGTAATCATTTTACAAAACTATTTCCTAATTCATTTAAAGGGATTATAAGGAATCAAACTAAGCTTAACGTCAGTTTTAGAAAAATTTTTACACTTAGGGTTTGGGAGAAAAAAGAGGAAAAGAAGAAAAGGGAGAAAAGTCCAAGGATTCATCAATGCCAAGATCGTCAAGTGGAATTCGTTGGGGGTGATCCCTATTAAGGTATGCAGGATCTTTCGTGTTGGGCTAATTCACCCACACACCAATTTTTTTTCAATTTAGCAATTTATGAGTAGATTCCATGATAAAAGTTAAGTTCTTAAAGAAAAGTTTTGATTTCTCGTTGATTGAATTATTGGTTGCCATTGTTGGTTGAACTCTTGTTTTCTCCAGGTGATTTTGAGTTTAATTTGATTATTATTAAGAGTACCAATAGTCCTAGATGTCTGGTGAAAGAACTAGAAAGGTTTGGAGGGTCTGGAGATGAAAAACGAGTTGAAAAATTCGTGCGACACACCTGGGTAAGGGAAGACACGACGCGCCTGCAGTGAACTAGAAAATGGCCTCAGTTAAAAATAGCCTGGCGCGGCACACCACCAGTGCAATAGAACCAAGCCTCAGTCAACTGAGGCTGGCACGACGCTCCACCTGTACGCTTAACCTGACATTTTACTTCCAGTTTTCGTAGTTTAGTACTTTTAAGTCCTTCCAAAGTACATTAACATATTTCAATGATTCTATTTACTTCAAATCTTAACCTTGCATCCATAATTCAATTCAAGAGAAGTTAACGTTAAAGTCAAGGAAGTAAAGAGTCAAGTCTAAAGTCAAGAAGTAAGGCGAAGTAAAGTTTTAAAGGTTTTCAAGAGTCTTATTTAAACATTTAAATTTTGTTTTTAAGAATCAAGTTTCAAGCTTAGCAAAGAGTTAAGTTCTTTTCTTCAAAGGTATATGGGGACTATGTACTCCACAGAGACTTAAAAATATTTTCACATTTAAACAAGTAAGGAATGTTTGATTTCCAAGGAGCCGTACGACAAGTTTTCAAAAAAGAACTATAACTTTCTCTAAGAAACAAGCAGGGAAACTAAGATTTCCAAGATGACCTTTGAGCTAAGTATTTTGAGCACTAATATCAAACAGTGAGTAAGTATATTTTTAAAACATAAGAGCTAGTATATTTTGGGAGTCGTATTGAGCACCGGTATGAGGGAGAGTTCAGAAAACTCGCAGCTTCAGTAAACCATGTAGCCACCATGGGAAGAAGAGGGTCATACTTTTTAGATGAAGCCTATTCACACTAGACTACTGAATCCATTAGGCAGTTAAGATGCGCTAACAGCGTGAGGTAGATCGTTGTATTATCATTACTATAGCTCTTAAGTGATTGTTGTCGGTTAGAGAAACTCCCACAACAGTTATTGTATTCTTATATACATTAGTTTCATTGTAATTTTTTACATACATACCAGAGTTAATTGTATTTTGCAAGCATCAACATTTTTCAGACATTTTTCTTTATATTGCACTTATTTTTAAATTTCATTATATTGAATGAGTTAAGTTATTCGTAAGTTGACCAGAGCCAAGGTAAGTGTTCCTTCTTAATCCTTTCAAGCTTAAATGTTGCTTAAGCATTCCAACTCGCATACTCGTACATTCAATGTACTGATGTCAGTTGACCTGCATCCTATTATGATGCAGACGCAGGTAAATAGGATCAGAATTTGGCATGCCGTTGATCCAGTGAGCATCTCAGAAGTCATTTGGTGAGCCTCCCTTCAATCCGGAGGACATTCTTATCATTTATCTATTTGATTTAGTTTTCAGTAATTAGGATGATTGGGGGTCCTGTCTTAACATCCATCTTTATTTTAGAGGCTTCATAGATAGACAATGTTAATTTTCTTTGGTCTTTCATTTCATTTGTAAAGACTTTAATTTGTCATTTTCGATAAGTACTATTTAAAGTTATATTCGATGTTAAGTCTTCCGTTGAGTTAAGTAAGTCAAACCAAAGGTTTGCTCAAGGACATCAATGGTCATTGAATGTCTGTCACGTCCAGGGTGTAGGCTTTGGGCCTAACAATTACAAGGCAAGGATGTCAACTTCATGCAACTCAACGCTTCTCTATCTTGAAATTTTCACATCATAAATTCTTAAAATATCATTCATATTATATTATAAGCGAGAAGCTTCAAGGTATAAAGTTGAATTACCATTTTATCCCTATACTAAATAAAAATGTTATATTCATATTTGATTATTTTATTTTTGAAAAATATTGAGCAATAAACTTTTTTTACTATTAATGAATTGAGAATATTTGAATAGTTATGAAAATTAAATAATTTAAACGTTAAAGAAAATGAAAAGACAAATGTTAGTTAACGAGAGCAAATAGGTAGAGATTTAAGTTGCACATTAACTAAACTATAGAAACAGTTACCTTTACATTACTAGAATCTTAATAGTTGTAGATTTCAATACAATGAATCCCATAGTTAATATATTAATATATGTTATTTTAAATTTTAATACATGAAAAGAAGCTAAAGAAACTAATTAATCCTTTAACGTGAAAGTATTATATAAATCCAAGAATAATTTTCATTTTCCTCAAGTCTCCTCTCCATTTTTATGGGCTCTAAAGAAGAGTATATCATTTCTCTGAGCAGTTTTTTCTCAATCAATGTCAAAGTTAAAGGTGATCAAAATACGCTATGAACGTTGTTGGATTTGTTTAAGAATTTCATCTATGGATGTTGTTGGATTCTTCAAAGAAATTTCTTAGTGAAGAATACACTCATGACACTTATTATTTAATTTCCTTGCTAGGGCTTAATATGTGCAACACACAACATTAATTTTACGGTAAAAGATTTCTATATGTTACTAGGGGTGCCCTCAGCGTCGAGGAACATGTACTAGGGTGTATGTGCGACTCGTTTAGTCCGATTTCAAAGAAAAAGCTGAGGCGAGAGCTATACCTTCTGGAACCGGAGCAATAACTGCTATAAAGTGTTTTACAACATTTCATTAACGTAGAACATAACATTTCACTTATTCATTTAAATATTGTAGTTGTATAGTTTTTTGGATATTGGATCTTAGAAACAAAAACACCATATAAGATGCTTATCAATTTTAAGAACATGTAATTTGTATTTTCTATTTTATAACATATAATATAATTTAAAAATATTGTTAATATACAATATTCACAAAAAAATATTTTTATTTATATGGCCACACGCGCGTGGCGCGTACCCAGAAACTAGTTGTATAAAAATATAACAAACATCAAATTGTTTCTTTGTTCATTCCGAATTAGTTGTCAACTTTTCCTTTTACACCCCTTAAGAAATTTTAATTAGAAAGGATAATTTAATTGATACCTCTTAAACATCTCTTATATTCTAAAAACTTGTTTACTTTCACAATTCAGACCATCGTGATTGACACCGACACTAATCCTCCGGTGGGAGAACTACTATTATAACCCGAACTAAGTAACTAAACCAAAACTAAGGTAACTATATACGGAAGCAAGTTTATTATTTAAAAATACGAAATATAAGTACCTAGAATCTAAAAGTTAATGTACCAAATAATCGCGCCCTCATTTCCCAAAATTTTCCTCTCTCTTCAGACGCTCCATGTACTGCTACAATGACTACAGAAATTCCAAAAGAACACGCGCCGCTGCGCTGGCGCATGCGCCACCGGTGGACCTTCAAAGACCGCACGACCAAAGCCAAATGGGGCGCATGAAGATGGCAACAAACTCCAATATGGCACGCACCATGATTCATCTCTAAATTCGTCGAATTCGCAAGATACAGACGCGATGAATGCTGCATTTTCGGAGATGGAGTTCGATCGAGCACGAGAAAATATTTCCCAAGACGTGATGGCTTGGAATCAAGGAAAAATGGTTGAAGATATCGATTCTACCACTCCTGATATACACCCTACCAAAAAATCAATTCATTCCATCGTCCCAATTGAGAGAAATCAAGAGGCGATTTTCGAATGAATCGCGAATGAGCCACCAGAAATCCTTACTCAATTTCGAACAACTTCGAGCCAAAATCGTAATGAATTAAGTACTGGGGTTTCTTCCCCTGATGAAGGCGCCCATCTCACAAAAATTTCAGTTGAAACGGAGGAATCACCGGCGGAGGGAATTCCGGTGAAACTCGAGTTCTAACCACCGGAAACCATGGAAAATCGACGACGGGAACTAATTTGCAAGCTATTGATAGACATTTTAATGTAGGAAACACAACTAACACTTCTTCAATTCATTACAAGCAAGGAAGGGCATGAAAATGAAGAAACTGAGTCGAGTGCTAGTCAAAGTGCAGGTCGCTCAGCTGAAGCAATAGCAATCATCAATGGAAACAAAGTTCAACATGGGAAACAATTAACTGATGCCACCAGGAACAAAGCAACTTCTTCAGCTGATGCTCAATCAGCCAATTTCTCCTTTGGCATTACAGATAACTCCTGTGACCTAACTCCTAACTTTAATTCTGATAATTTGCAGATCATACCATGTCAAGAGAACAGAGGTGAGGAATATGGGCAAAGGCAACCTCAAAACAAGAAACAATCAATTCAGCAGCAACAACCTCCAAACAAGGATTTGCAACAACAAAGAAAGGTATACAATTGCAATTCTGGTATTTCGCAGGTACTACCAAATCAGGAGAACATTGGTGAGGAATATGGGCAAAGGCAAGCTCAAAAGAATGAGCAATCAACTCAGCACCAGCAGCTTCCAAGCAAAGATTTGCAGCAACAAAGAAATGCTCACAATGAGAATGGAACGGAACATGAAAAAAAAATAAAAGACAACAAAAAGACCAGCTTAAGGATAACAGTCAACAATAAGTAACAAATTCTTCTTATCAAGCCAATAAAGTAAACATGGATTATCAACACGACTTCCCAAAGATCTCCAACAACTTCACTAGGTATGGTCCTAACTCTCAACTAGATAGAAACAATAAACAGGGTAACAATGTGGAGCAAGGAAATGCTAGACCTCCTATCAGTCACCAACAGGGGCAAAACACAAGTAATAATGCTAAACAGGACAAGGCTAGTGAACCTGCTCCATACACTGTAGTTCAATCCTTTGCAGCCCGCTTGAGGTATAATCAATCTAAGAATGAGATTCCAATTGTGTTGAATGACCCCATACATACAACTAGACAAGGGTACCCTGCTGTGCTCTTAGATGAGCATGACTATTATGTGAAATTAGCTGAATGTTGTAAATATACGCTTGTGGGGAAATTCACCAATACAATGCCTAAAATGGAGTTGGTTAGAAAGAGTTTCACCCTTCAAACTCAACTTACTGGGTGTGTGTGTGTGAAGATTACTCACTTTAACTCTAGGCATGTGTATATTGATCTAGATAATGAATTCGACTATCAAACTGTTTGGACAAAATTGAGGATGACTATTGAAGGGCATTTGATGAGAATTCAAGCTTGGACCCCTGATTTTACCCCCGAGGAATAAACACCTATTGTTCCTATTTGGGTTGTAGTGCCAGGATTACCATGGCATTGTTATAATAAAGTTCTTTTGACTACTATCTTGGAATCTGTTGGGAATGTTTTATATCTTGATTACCCAACTTCTTAAAGGACTAGAGGTAGCACAACAAGGGTGAAAGTTCAAGTTGATCTCACTAAAAAAAGAAAAGGCCTGAACATGTATGGTTGGGTTTCAAAAATTCTGACCCCAACAAGGGGAGATGGTTGAAGGTTCAATATGAAGGTATCCCCGACTATTGTATGTATTGTAAACATCAAGGGCATATGGATTATGATTGCACTGTAAAAAGAAGAGATGAAGATGTGAACAGGATGAAAGAAATGGAGTCTGAAAAAAACAACAAGAAGTCAAAAGGAGATCAGCAACAAGGTGGAGATGGAATAGAGGAAAATGTTAAGCAAATTCATAAAGGAAACCACCAAGATGGAAAACAGCAAGAGACAAGAAATCAGGGTCAGAGAAATTATGATCAACAACTTTCAGAAAATGAGGAGCAGTGGCAGACACAAAGAAGAAACAATCAAAGAATTTGGAGCAAGCTCAACCCAAAACAGCATGGAGAGCACGTTCACCATAACACAAGGAAATCAGTGATAATAGGCAGCGGGCAGCAGGTACATCAGGTATAACTCCCTCCATTACTACTCACAATGTTTATAATGATTTAGAACTGCAGGAACAGGCTGTTCAAGAGCTACATGTGGACACATCAGGAAAAGAAGGTGCTGCTGACAGTAATATCCAACAAATCCAAGAGCCAAATACTGCCTCACCATCAACAACTCAATGAACCAATGTCCAAGAGCTGCAGATAGACATTTCAGAAAAGAAAGGTGATGCAGACAAAATACCCAACAAAATCAAGAAACTAATATTGTTTCACCATCAACAACTCAAAGAAAAAAGGTGAAGCAACATCAAACACAAGACACACATGCTAATAAGAACAAGAGAACAAGTATTGACTTATCTCTCCCCATACCCCAGCAACCCACAATAACTGTTGTTGAAAATGTTTTGATTGTTGGGTTGGTTGTTGAAGTTGATGGAGGTATGAATGGGGGGTGTCAGGAGAAGCTTACTAATCTGTAGGAAGGGGTGTCCAAAGGGGAAAAAAAAATTCTGGAATTTGATCACAATGACCATAGGAGAGAACTTAGAGCCTCAGAAAGTAAGTCTCCAAACTCCAGCAATCAGGAATTTCAGAAAATTTTCAGTCAAAGGCAAAGATATGAATCTGATCAGAATTTGGAAAGAGCTGAAAATCAAGAAACAGGGGGTAAAAATACTGCTGGTGGTCAACATCAGCCTACTGGTAATTCTGAGGATCAGCAGCAGCAGGGTGATAAAATTCCTGTCGAAAAACAAAACAATAGATCACAAGGCAGACCTAGCAAAAAGAAAAGAGAAGCAATTAAAAGAAGAAATCAAAGAGAGGTAGGTCTGCAGGGTGTTAATGAGCAGGTTCAAAGAGAAAATAAGTCTCCAAAACAGTACCATGGGAACTCAAATTATGAAGTAATAAATTCAGAAGATGAATTTAATGAGGATACTCATTCTTCAAATGAGAAGAAGGGAGAAGAGGATGGGGATGAAAATAGCGCGCACTTGATCAAGGCATTTGGTTCTACAATCCAAAGTGAGTTTGAATCTGAAATCCATGAAGCCACTAACCAATAAGGTTTATCTCCAAGGGGCAGAAAGGAAGTCAGACAATACAACAACACCATTACAACAAGCACATCTGCTAATACTAGCAGACCCAACACCAGGTCCCGAATGATCAATACAATATGTTGGAATGCTAGGAGCATCAACGCCCAATGATCTTTGGAAAGACTTCAAAATCTCAAGAAAATGCATAATTTCTCTATGATAGCTATTCTTGAACCATTTGCAGATAATTCTCAACTCAACAAGTACAAGCTTCTTTTGTCTATGGATAATGCTCTTTGTAATGGTAATGGCAAAAATTTGGCTGTTTTGGACCAATAATATGGAGTGTGATACTTTGGAAATTCATGATCAACATATCACTTGTTGGGCCAAACATGTTGGACACAGTGAGAAATTTATTATTTCTCTTATTTATGCTAAGTGTAAGGAACACCTACGAAGACCTCTTTGGGAAAGACTTTATCATATTTCCAATATGGACAGCCCATGGTGCACGATTGGAGACTTTAACGTCATTACATCAACAGATGAAAAATATGGTGGCATGCCCTATAATATGAACAAAATCCTGGAATTTATTGATATCATTGAGGCTTGTGGTATCATGGACATAGGCTTCAGTGGTCAACATTACACTTGGTGTAATCAAAGATCCGGTGAAGCAAGAGTGTGGAAAAGATTGGACCGAGCTATGGTCAATGATACATGGTTGTGATGTATGTTACAAACTACTACCTCTCACCTTCCTGCTGTAGGCTCGGATCATTGCCCATTATTAATGGAAATGGAGGTGAGAATAGACGAAAAAGTCAAACACTTCAAGTTTTTGCACTGTTGGCCTGAAAATGAAAAATTCAACGATATTGTGCAAAGCTCTTGGCAAGAGGAAGTAAGTGGTGACCCTATGAGGAAACTCTATTAGAAAACAAAGAAATTGACTTCTACTTTGAGTAATTGGTCTAAGAGTGAATATGGCAACATCTTTTCCATGGTTATAGATTTTGAAGAACAAGTTAAAATGCGAAGGAGAGGGTAATACATAATAATTCAGAGGAGAACAAAGTCAAGCTTCATCTTATTAATGCTCAATACATCAAATAAATGAAGTTGGAAGCTTCCATTCTCAAGCAAAAAACTCAGCTCCAATGGTTCAAATAAGGGGATACCAATTCCAAATACTTTCACTCCATTATGAGGGGAAGGAGGAGGAAGTTGTTTATCCACAAGGTTTGCACAAATGATGATACTTGCATACAGGGAGATGAGAACATTGCCAAAGAAGCTTGTAGGTACTTTAAAAATATTTTCACTGGGAAATCAGACAGAATCAGTGAGGAAGTTCTCAACTGTGTTCCCCGGATGGTTACAAATAAACAGAACCAACTTCTTCGACAAATGCCTAATATGGAGGAATTAAAACAAGTTGTTTTCTCCATGAATCCTAACTCTGCTCTAGGTTCGGATGGGTTTGGAAGGAAATTTTATCAGTCATGTTGGGATATTATTAAGGAAGATGTTCTAAAAGTTGTGCGACATTTTTACTGTGGAAATATTATGCCTAAATATTTTTCACATGCTTGTCTTTTCCTTCTTCCGAAGATTGATCATCCTAACAAATTTTCAGAGTTCATACCCATCAGCTTGAGTAACTTCTCCAACAAAATCATTTCCAAGATTCTTTGTTTCAGATTAGCAGGCATTCTGCCTCAGTTTATTTCTGAGAATCAGTCGGGATTTGTTAAGGGAAGAAGTATTTCGGAAAACATTATGTTTGCTCAAGAGATCACTGCACATTATCAAACAAACCAATGAAGGTGACAATGTGGTAATTAAACTCGATATGACCAACGCATACCATAGAGTGTCATGGTCGTATACTTGTTTGGTTTTGCGAAGAATGGGTTTTTGTGAGATTTTTATTGACCTTGTGTGGAGAATAATGAGCAACAACTGGTATTCTGTTATTATTAATGGGTCCAGGCATGGTTGTTTAAAGTCAGTAAGGGGTCTCAAACAGGGTGATCCATTATCTCCGTCCTTATTTATTTTAAGGGCGGAGGTGCTATCTCAGATGCTTAATATGCTTCATCAACAACAGAATTACAAGAATTTTCAAATGGAAAGTAGAGACCCACAGATTAATCATCTCAACTTTGCGGATGATATCATTATCTTCTCTTCCACCACTAGAGATACTCTTCATATGATCATGAAAACTCTTGCCACATATGAGTCTGTTTCAGATCAACTCATAAACAAAGACAAGAGTCATTTCATGGTCCCTTCGAAATCTCCTACAGAGGTCATCAATTTAATTGGAGAGATAACAGGTTTCACTCAGAAAAAAAGCCCCATTACCTACCTAGGGTGCCCCCTATTCATGGGTGTGAAGTGCACCACATGTAAAGAGAGGAAGGCTTTGAAGTGTTTTAGGAAAAAACATTATTTTTCTTGTTACTCTTATTGTGTGTAAGGTATAATCAAATTCCATTCTAACTTGACGTTGTGCGCTTAAGATCATGCCTTCTTGTAGAGCTTAGGCATGTAATTCTAATGCACGCAATGCTAACGGAGTTCCTCTAATACCAGATAAGGAAGTTCAAATGCAAAGTTTCAGAATGCCAATTCAGCTTTTGGCTCAGAGTATGACCAACCAGAACAATCAGCAGGTTCTAGTTCCTACTAAAAGAAATGACCGATTAGTGGCAGCCAGAGTTTGTTATTTTGTTAGGATGAAATCCACCTATGTTTTTAGGGTCGCAAGTTGGTAATGACCCATAGAAGTTCATTGATAAGGTCAAGAAATTATTTGAAATAAAGTCAGTAACTGGTAGTGATAGGTGAGATTGGCATCCTTCAAACTCAAGGATGTGAATCACATATGCTTCACTCAATGGAAAGACAAAAGACATGACTTCATCTTTTATAACTCAGTATAGCAGTCCAATTCAGTGTTAGTCCAGAAACTCTCTCAGAACCTTTCTCAGTCTCTACTCCATTCGGTGACCCAGTTATAGCTAGACGGGTATACAGAAATTGCCCTGTCACAATCTCTCATAAAGTCACATCAGCAGATCTAGTAGAGTTAGAAATGGTAGACTTCAATGTCATTCTAGGCATTGATTGGTTACACTCATGTTATGCCTCAGTCGATTATAGAACTAGGATTGTACGTTTTAAGTTTCCAGACGAACCAAACTTAGAATGGAAGAGTAGTAGCTAAGCGCCTATGGGTCGATTTATTTCTTTCCTTAAGGACAGAAAGATGATTTCTAAGGGTTATCTCTATCATCTAGTTCGGGTTAAGAATTCTAGCCTTGAAACCCCAACTCTTGAGTCAGTTCCAATAGTCTGTGAATTTCCAGAAGTGTTTCCAGAAGATCTTCCCGTAGTCCCTACCGAAAGGGAAATCGACTTTGGAATTGATCTCCTTCCAGATACACAGCCTATTTCTATTCCTCCATACAAAATGGCTCCAGCAGAGCTTAAGAAATTGAAAGAGCAGTTGAAATACCTTCTAGATAAGGGCTTAATCAGACCTAGTATTTCACCATGGGGTGCACCAGTATTGTTCGTAAGGAGAAATATGGTTCTCTCAGAATGTGCATTGACTATAGACAGTTCAACAAGGTCACAATCAAGAATAAGTATCCCATCCCCAGGATTGATGACTTGTTTTACCAACTTCAGGGTGCTAGACATTTCTCAAAGATACACCTCAGATCAGGTTATCATCAGCTTAGAGTCAGAGATAGTGACATTCTGAAAATAGCCTTCAGAACTCGGTATGGTCATTATGAATTTGTAGTTATGTAGTTTGGAGTAACTAATGCTCCTGCAGCCTTCATGGATTTGATTAACAGAGTGTTCAAAAAGTACTTGGACTTGTTCGTTATCGTCTTTACTTATGATATCCTCATTTACTCTAGGATTGATGAACAACATGCAAGTCATTTGAGAGACGTTTTGCAGACTCTCAAGGATCTCCACTTACTCGCTAAGTTTAGTAAATGTGAGTTCTGGTTGCAATCCGTTGCTTTTCTTCGTCACATTGTATCTAGCAAAGGGATCCGAGTGGATGCAGAAGATAAAAGCAGTGAAACAGTGGCCCATACCTACCTCTGTTACAGATATCAGAAGTTTCTTAGAGATAACCCTTAGAGATTATTTTTTTGACTAGGTTGACTCAGAAGATGGATCCAATGGTTAAATGATTGTGAGAAGAGCTTCACAGAATTAAAAATTAGATTGGCTACAACTCCTGTATTTAATCTACCAGAGGGTTCAGATGATTAAGTGATATATTGTGATGCATCCAGAGTTGGCCTTGGTTGTGTGTTGATGCAAAGAGATAAGATTATAACTTATGCCTCTAGACAACTTAAGGTGCATGAGAAGAACTATCCAACTCATGACCTCGAGCTTGCAGTAGTGGTGTTTGCACTCAAGATATGGAGACACTACTTGTATGGTGTTCATGTAGTTGTGTTCACCGATCATAAGAGCCTTCTGTATGTGTTCACTCAGAATGAGTTGAATCTTTCCAGAGGAGATGGCTTGAGTTTCTTAAGGATTATGATATGAGTGTGCATTATCATCCTGGAAAGGTGAATGTAGTAGCCGATGCTCTTAGTATACTACTTATGGGTAGTGTAGTCCATGTTGAGGAAGAAAGAAAGGAGGTAGTGAAGGATGTTCACAGGTTTGCTTGCTTTGGAGTTTGCCTTATGAGCATAATAGACAACGGTGTAACAGTTCAAAATGGGGCAGAGTCTTCTTTGGTAGTGGAGGTTAAGGAAAAGCAAGTTAGTAATCCACTCTTGCTTGAACTAAAAGGTGCAATCCACAATCAGAGAGTGGAGGTTTTCTCCCAACGGGGAGATGTTGTACTTCGCTACCAGGGTAGATTGTGTATTCCTGATGTGGGCGAGTTGAGACAGCATATTCTTGCAGAATTCCATAACTTTAGGTATTCTATTCATCCAGGTGCCACTAAGATGCCCGTGATCTGCGAGAAGTTTATTGGTGGAATGGCATGAAGAGGGATATAACAAATTTTGTGAGTAAGTGCCCCAATTGCCAGCAAGTCAAGGTAGAACATCTGAAACCAGGAGGTATGCCTTAAGAGATCGATATTCCTACTTAGAAGTGGGATGTGATAAATATGGATTTCATCACAAGGTTACCTCGTACTCGCAGACAACATGACTCCATTTGGGTGATATTGATAGGATGACTAAGTCTTCTCGCTTTTTAGTGGTCAAGACTACAGATTCGGCGGAGGACTATGCCAAGATTTACATCAATGAAATTGTGAGGTTGCATGGGGTTCCTTTGTCTATCATCTCAGATAGAGGTCCTCAATTTACCTCTCATTTCTGCAAGTCGTTTCAAAAAGGTCTTGTCACTCAAGTTAACCTTAGTACAACATTTCATCCACAGACGGATGAGCAGGCAGAGCGTACCATTCATACCTTAGAGGATATGTTGAGAGCTTGTGTTATCGATTTCGAAGGTAGTTGGGATGATCACATTCCTCTTATTGAATTTGCCTACAATAATAGCTACCACTCCAGCATTCAGATGACCCCTTATGAGGCTTTATATGGGCATAGAAGGGCCAAATTCAGTCCTTTATGCTATGGAAAAGTGCAAATCATTAGAGATAGACATAAGACAGCCCAAAGTCGTCAGAAATCTTATGCAGATGTAAGGAGAAGGGAACTAGAGTTCCAAGTTGATGATTGGATTTTTCTGAAAGTCTCACCTATGAAAGGGGTGATAAGATTTGGAAAGAAAAGGAAGCTTAGTCCAAGATATGTAGGCCCTTAAAAGATAATGAAAAGGATTTGCAAGGTGACATATGAGTTAGAGTTGCCAGCAGAATTAGCAACAGTGCATCCGGTCTTCCACATCTCACTCTTGAAGAAGTGTGTGGGTGATCCAGCCTCTATAGTGCCATTGGAGAGTGTGGCGGTGAAATATAGTATTTCTTATGAGGATATACCAGTTGAGATTCTTGACCGTCAAGTTAGAAGGTTGAGAAACAATGAAGTCGCCTCAGTTAAGATTTTGTGGAGGAGTGAGTCCGTAGAGGGAGCTACTTGAGAAGCAGACGTAGCCATGAAAGCCAAGTATCATCACATCTTTCCTTTCGATTCCACTCCAGCATGAGGTAATAATTCCTCTTCAGTTTTCCAGTCATTCAAGCATAAATTCAGTCTTAGAATCATGTTCCCTCAGTTTGTACTTGGATTTCCAGCGTATCTGCATGTACTAGGAACTCAGTTCAGTCAGAAACTCAGTTATCTGTGTTTTAGTAGTGGGTTTTGCAGCTCTATCCCTGTATTTCAGCTAGTTTAGTCTTCATTCGAGGACAAATGTTCCCAAGGGGGAGATAATGTAACACCCCGTAGCCTAAATAGAACAAAAATCAGTTTTTTAGAAAACTCAGCAGGTGCAACCAACGGTGGCATCGACGGTCCGTAGAACAGACGATGGTCCGTCCTGCACAGCCGTCGTGGGATTAGAAACTCCCAAAAAAATTCAGTCGGGAAAAATTGGCTAAGTCTTGATCGTCGAACGGACCGACGGTCTGGAAGTCAGACGAAGGTCTGTAGTCCATGACCGTCGATTAAGACCCCCATTCACCCACTCTCTAACAAAAGCTACGGATGATCAGCACGGTCCATAGGTGGACCTATGGTCCATAAGTGGAAAATTTGCAGACAGTTAAGGGGAAATGTAGTTGGGTAACCTTCAAATGATTTCAACTCTTACAACAAAATGAATTAGGTGTCCCATGACCTACCTACAGATAGATAATTGAATTATCTTTCCATAGCCACCGACCTTGCTAAAATCAGACATCCGTGTAAATATTTATACCCATTTTAGTAAAGGCCTGTTGAATAGGCCTTGACGACGGACTCAACGATGGGGTGTCGGGAAAATGACGGACCGTCAGTCCTGGCCGTCGTTTGGCCCGACAACAACTTTCCCAGGGGTCTTTTTGACCTTTCCCACTCCATTTAAACCCTAAGTTACATCGTTTTGACACTAAATCATCATATTTTAGTCAATTTAAGCCTAGAAACATAACTAAAACATATGTAAGTCAAATAATTAAATTAAAACATAGATAACTAGAAGCAAGAAAGGAGAAAAAGCTCAAGAACGCTAGTTCAAGAATAAAGCAAGTTTCCAGTAGTTCCAGCCAGAAATCTAAGTGTTTCTCTATGAATTTCATCACTAGGTTTGTGAGATTTCACTAGTGGGTTCGTTTCACCAACTGGGTCCCTAGTTTTCAATCAGATTCTTGATTCTATTATCATGATTAAACCTAGGGTTTCTAGAACTTTGATAGAACTTCACGATTTAGTTAAATATATGTTCCAAATCAGATTATCATGTTATTAGTTAGATTATCGCATGAATTTCAGAACCCTAGATTTGTATTTCTTTGGTTCTTGAATTACACATGCTAGGTCAGATATTTTAGGCACTTCAGATATACATGCCTCAGTTATAAATGCATAATTACCAGATTGATTGTTGCATTCTCAGTTTGCATGTTTAGTTTCGAGCTATCCAGTATTTACGTAAACTAAGACATAATCAGTTAATTTACTGAATTCATTGGGAGTAGCATAATACCGAGTTGGACTAGGTTTAGCGTACCCAATGAGTTCTAGAACTACTAGCCAAGTAAGTTGTAAGTCCCCTTTGTGAGAAATCAGTTTAGTGATCATGCCAACATGCCTTTATATCTTTGACAGGGTATATTGGGTCCTCTCTATGGGGCGTATTCATTAGAATCCACATTTAGCTCATGTGGTTTTATCATCGGTTATTAGTAGCTCCCACAGTTCAATCATACTCTCTGCATTGACCATTTATCAGTATAT